TGCCACTGCCTCACCACCCTCACCGGGCAGAATTTCTTCCTAATATCTCATCTAATCATCCCTCTTCCAGTTTAAAGCCAGTGCCCCTTGTCCTGTCACTGCTTCCTGCATGTTTTGACTCTGAATATTTTACTTTTTTCAAAATACATGTGGTAGACAGTGCCTGCATGGCAGATGCTTTTGAACTGTAAGGCTTGTAAACTGTGCTCTTGGTAGCTGGTTAACAGCACCATCTAATCATCTGTGATACTTGACAATTGCAGGTGGAAGAGTTCCTAAAGCAGGTTAAAAAACCTGAGGAGGAAACCACATCCCAGACAGCCTCCCCTCAGGGTAAAGTGGAGGCGTTGTCTGTGAACAGCGACTCGGAGGATCAGGAAAGCATTATCACCGCACAGACTGTAACACCGAACGCTGAAAACCAAAAGCCACCGTCTTCAGCGGCCTTCACAGAACTTGGAGGGAGTAACCTTGAGGAGGAAGCGGAGGATGCGGCAGCGAGCGACTCCGATAACCAGGGTGCAGGGGAACCGGAGCACAGCCATGGGCGGCAGCTCATCTCTCTGGATATTCCTGATTATCTCCGGGAAGAGACAGAGGATGTCGACCAAGGTACATTAGTTCCCTACAAACCAGAAATGAATTGGCGGTGGACTTAATACTGCCTTCCCAAATCACAGCGTTGTGTGGTATTTATTTATTTGGTTTGTTCAAAGAGACTTGTTAGGTCTAAGGGGTAATGAGGCCGATGGAGAGCTATGGTAGCAGAAGTAGCTTATTTGTGTAATGCCAGAATCCCAGGTCTTGCTTTAATATTGGCACTATTTCTTTGTAGATAAACAGTCATTGTTGATCCTAGACACTATCTAGCAGGTCTCCAATTCACACCCCTTTTCCCCTGTAAGGATGAGGGTGATTAACTTCAGGCAGATGCACAGACTGTCATGTTTTGGGTCCTCACATAGACATTGCTGAGTTTTGGGGAGCATGTGTTGGTTAAAATTATTTTCTAGGGGGAAAAAAAAAAAAATCTATAGTACAAACTTTTCTATTTAAGACCGTAAACAAAGGAAAACAGGATTGTTCAGGTTTCTACATACAGTTTAATCCTTCCTACAGTAATTCAATTATGTTAGATTTCTACTGTAAAACTTTTGTCTAGGTTGGTTCTTATTTACATAAGGGCGTTAAATTGGTGTCTGATCCACTTGTTTGCTCACTATGTAGAGTTTATTGCCATCAGTTGAAGATGATGGCTAGCCTGTTAAGGCTCTTAAATAAAGGGTGAACTGTTATGATTTTTAGGACTGTGACTGATACCTGTCAGGTAACACTATTCCCTTGAAATATAGCATGCTCTTTTTTAATTTAAACCACTAATCTGCATAATCTGGCCAGCAGTAATAAAGGATATTTAGCAATGTTGTTAAACATGACCACCTTATATCTTAACTCTCACCTACCTACTGATTACATTCCTAGCCTACGAGAACAGTGATTGTTAACTTTTGCAGTGTCTTCCAGCTGTAGATGAAAAAATTACTGCAAAGAAGAAGGAGAAAAAAAGGAGGAGGAGGAATAAAATTGCGTTGGGAGCTATACCTGCTGAGATTGCTGCTGATCCAGAGCTGGTCAAGTACTGGGCACAACGCTACCGGCTGTTCTCTCGGTTTGATGAGGGAATTAAACTAGACAGAGGTGTGTTTAGTACGAAGTGTGCTGACTTGGCGGTGTAAGATGTATCCAAACCTGTGGCCCTTCTCTCAGTTTGTTACTGGTTTCCTTGTAAGAGGAGCATTACTGAGTGTGCGTTTGCACCTCTGGATATATTCTATCCCCCAGCAGGCAGGTGAACGGAAGTCTTGGACTTCAGTGGAGCTTCTAGCATGGGAAACCTTTGTTTGCATTAGTCCTGATGTTTGCTGAAGATCATACTGTACCCAAATTATGCTTGGTCAGGGCTTTTTCATAAACTGGATGACATTTTTCTGTTTCTGTATTTTGTAAAATAATTTTGTGAAACTTCAAATATGCTGATGGATCTAGTTTTGTCCTGACTTTCAGCAATCACTTTCAAATTTACTTTTTTCCATGTTTGCCTGGAAACCACTTCCAAATCCTAAATTTATAGGTAAAGGAGGAATTAGGATTACTGCTTTTTTGTATCTTCGGTTTGTTGGTTTTGTAAGCCTTTCACTTTTAATGCTCTGCCATGTAAACACGTAGATTATTTGGCAGACCAGACATTGCTCTAAAGAAAATAACATGTTGGATAAGAGAGAATGTATTTCTGGTTTTATTTGTTACAGAGCATAATCGTGATGTATAAAGTTTTTCATAGCTGTCTCGGTGGACTTGTCCTTGATAAGCCAGAATCCTCAGCACCAAGTTCAACAAAGCATTTACTGAGATTCAGGCATGTTTGTCTGCTTCAGTGAGATTTTGCTTAGCAAATTGCTGGACTGACCAGAGTTTATCATCTTCAAAGCCTGTATTTCCTGGTCAAATGCACTAAGCCACAATTGTTGAGATTAACACTAAACCTTCAGTTGTGTGTGGGGATTGGTTGATTGTTTTTAATTTAGATGACCTTGAAATCAGAGGCCAAAATACACTTCTTCCCTTTTCTTCGCAGAGGGTTGGTTTTCTGTTACTCCTGAGAAAATAGCTGAGCATATTGCCATCCGTGTTAGTCAGTCATTCAACTGCGATATCATAGTGGATGCGTTCTGTGGGGTTGGAGGAAACGCTATTCAGTTTGCACTGACCTCAAAAAGAGGTAAGCAGGTGTTGTATATAGTGCACTGTTTTGTTTGTTCAATCTTTTTCTCTAAAAATTTGAGTATGCACTTTGTTTGCTGGTTTTGGGGTGTTTTTTTAGTGCTTCTGAAGCAACAGAAGCTTTTGTGCTTCCTCAGACTCACAGTGAGCTTTCTGTTCTTAAAAAGGACCTATAAAACTGCTTTTCTATTTTAGGTCAGAGTTGGATTTGTGTTGTACTAGTCAAAGTTATTTTTACATGGCATAGTAACTAGTCTATTGGATGCTCTGAAGATTGCTGCTAAAGGTTGAGTTCTGTTTGCAGTCCAACATGCAGAGATGCCACAAAGCTGCTGCTTTTCCCAGTTGTGGCACCAAGTCTGTGTACTCAAAAGCAGATTATGTGCGAATAGTACTTAAGACACTTGAATGGGATCACCTGCAGGTGCAGCAGAACCAAGTACAGAAAAGTGATGATGACTTAATATTAGCCTAAGTTCCTGTTGCCAGCTAATGAAATTGCAGTGAAACTTTGAGAGTGCTTTCTCTAAAAACATTGACTCCTTGATATGCCTCTATTCATCAAACACACTGGTAAAATACTGGCTCATCTGATGCTTCGGAGTAATTTCTGAGCAAGACAAATGTTAGTTTCTACTGCATTAAATTTGGTAGGCTAGAAAATATTTATAGAATGGATCATAAATTTCACTTAGCTTTTTGTATTTCCTGACTAAATTTTTATTTCTATGATTATGTACTGCCCTTGTATCATCTCTCTTGTGCTGCGTTGGGTGGGTTTTGGTTTTTTTTAAACTCAATTTTCAGTACAATGTGATGAGCCACAGTTTATCTTAACAAAGGAGAAGAGTAAGTTTCTAATTGACACCGTTTAGGCTGTCAGGCTCCTGCCAAGATTGAAGCGAGGAGGACTTCCTCTCTTGGGCGGTCAGCCTTACCTGTCCACTACTTGACCTGAGATGAAGGATTGTTACGGTAGTAGATGCATGATTGACAAAAGCTAAAGCTTCCCAGCTTTGCAACAGCAGCTGAGCCTTCCCAGTCTTGGCTGTGTGGCTTCCCTTGCTGGTTTGTAAATGCAGTGGTTCTGCTCTTGGTGGAACCTCGGCTCCTGCCTGGCAAGGACAGGTCCTTCCCCTCTGAGGAACTGTAGCTTCATGTCTACCATGGCCTACAAAACTGAAGTAGTCACTCTCCACACAACTGTAGATTATAGATGTGACTTGAATCTGGTGGCTGGAGAACACCTTCCTTCTGAAACATCCTTTTGGTGGTCAGGTGGCATTCACAGTCCACGTTAACCTGTGCATCTGGTCTCTCTCTCGTTTGCAGTGATTGCTATTGATATTGATCCTGAGAAACTCAGTCTTGCGCGCAACAATGCCGAGGTGTACGGCGTGGCAGATCAGATAGAATTTGTGTGCGGAGACTTCATGGTGCTGGCTGCTGACCTGCAAGCAGATGTTGTGTTCCTCAGCCCACCCTGGGGGGGGCCTGACTACGCCACCGCCGAAATCTTCGATATCCAAACCATGATTTGTCCAGATGGATATCCTTTCACAGTTACGCGTTGTCGTGGTTTTTCACTCATTTAAGAGTGTTACTCTCTCTTTCTTCTCCTCGCTGTCTTGAACGGGCTTTGCGTGTCCAGTTGGCTGACTGGGGATGGTATGGCCAGCAGCTGAAGTCCCAGATGTGCCACATTTGTTTGGTACTCCTCCTCCAACCTCAGCTATATGACTTTGACCACCTAAAATTAAATATTTTTATTACAATTTTTGATTTTAAAAAAAAAGGTCATAAAGAGTTATTCTTAAAAGTAAAAAATCCTTTAGAGAATTGTAGTAGCTTCTTAACTTAAAGCATTATTTCAACAGTTTTAACTCCTTTATGTTATTTTATTAAAATACCCTGAAATAATCAAATAGCTATGTGGTGTGTGTATATATAGGCAATAGTTACATGAGCTGTGACTTTGTCATTAATTCCAGTTTTTAACTGATTTATAAAAGGTATATCTTATTTTAAATATCTTACTCAAACTATTCTCAATTATAGCACCTGCCTGTGACTTGGGAAATCACAGAAGAGTGCAAGCAAAATATTAACCCTTTTAATTAATGTATCAAATTCCATACTAACTTATTAACAGTAGTATTCAGCACTCATTCGTCTTGGAACGTATTAGCATAATAGTTTCATCAAATATGAAGTGTGTTGGGCTTTTTTCCCCCAAAATAATCTCAGTTGTTTCCTTTTTGGCTAAAATGTAGCCATATTTGTAAGAGTAAGGAAATCTTGGTATGCATGTATGAGAGAGATTCCACGAAATGGATTAGAAAACCAACATACTAGGTATAAACTCCAGTCAAATTTCTCAAATACTTCTATGTAGTTCAGTTAAATTTTCTTAAAAAGAGAGGTGTTTTTTTGTTTGTTTTTTTTCCTACTTTCTAGGGCAATAATGGTAAAATAGAGGTTCTGCATTTAGACAATACTAAGTTCTGCATTTCAGAAGAGTATTCAACTCACGCACCTAGAAGGCTAACTATAATTTAATTGCATAATAACTGAATTAGAGACATACTTTCAAAATGAATGAATATAAAGCAACTTCTCCTTCCCAATTCTTGTTTTTTCCTTTACTGGCTTCTACATTTGAAATTTTCAGGCTCTCCAAGAAGATCACACACAATATTGTGTATTTTCTACCTCGGAATGCTGACATTGACCAGGTGTGTTACTGGATAAGGGCTTGCTAATTACAAAAAGCTCAGCTGGCTTAAAACATAGGTATTATAAGCACAAACTGAAGACTTTTAATGCTGTTCAGCTGAATGTGGGGGGATTTTTGTTTTAAGTTTGAACCTTATGTTAAGTGATTTCTGTGTTTGCAATACTTTTGATATATTTAGAAATGGGAGTAGTAGATTATTTCCATGGTTTTGATACTGTTCCTTCATAAAGCAACAGACTGGAGGTTGGCATAGAAGATCCAAAGCCAGTAGATTTGTTGAGTGCTAGACAGATACATCATTCTAAAAGACAAAAAAAAAAAAAATATTTAAGCAGTTCTTACTGTGTGATAAGTTGCTGAGTCCTAAACTTTCATGGCTTTCAGTTTATGAAGGAGTTGCAGGAAATCACTGTACAGCCTGCAATCTCTGCTATCACTGATGAGTAGGTCAGAGACAAATGTCATGCCGGCAGAGGTGGTACTGACGCTTTCCACACAAGTGTGTGGTTCCATACGAGCTGCTTGCATTGCTGTGATTAGATAGTTAGATGCATCACTGACCTGATCAACACACAGTTTGTTTCACTGGTGTGGGTTTTTTTTAGAATTTTTTTTTTTTAAAGTAATTAGATGACTGTAACAATTCCCCTGAGTGTCTGGTTTAGTTTCCTCTGTGTATTTTCTATGCTAATCATGTCTTCTTGCTTTTTGCAAAGAAGAGAGCCGTGATACGTTCTCCTCACCTGCAACATGCTGCATAGCTTCCTAGGATTATTTCCTGCTTTTCCAAAAGCTGTGTCCAACTTAGGCAAGGTCTCAAGCCACATGGTGGCTTGCAGAATCGTTGGTGGCAAACAGCTGGCTTGAGAAACGGGGTGAAATTCATGTGACCTGAGTAGTAGCACACTGTGAGCCCGCGCTTTGCACGGCACCATTTGTATGGCAGGTGATGATTCAGTTGGGTTTTGCATTTCAGGCTGGTGAAATGTCAAAGTGGCTTATGAATCTTTGAACAGAGACCTTAAATTTAGGCAGAGTTTCTCTAGTTTCAACTTCTAACCGCTGCATTTTATCAAATGTTTCATTCCCAAGACGAAGAATGACCTTACCAGGTTTCTGCTCTGCTCATGAGCACTTTTTACTGGATTTATAAATGGGCAAAGGCACCTACATTTCACTTACGTTCCCACAAAACCATCTAAGAGTACTGCCCACAGGTCTGCACCTATTCCTACAAAACAGCTCGGCACCTCTACATGGTTGAGTCAGGTGTCTTGCCACCTCTACGTCTTGGTCCAATTGGCTCTGAATGTGCTCTGAGTGTTCCTTGATGTACATCCATGGGTTTACCTTTACACAGATTGCTGAAGAGTAACTGCTGTTGCTCAAAAACACGGCTTTGTGGTCACAGCTTAGTTGTGCAAAGCACGTGGCTGAAGGCCTGGGTTCTCAGTTCAGTCATCCAGGCTATGGGCTACTCAGGAAGAGAAATCAGCTCCGCATGCCTTTCTCTGGAGACTGTGCCAGAATAAGGGAAAAAAACCCTAAAGAAAAAAAAAGGGAAAGAGAATTTGAGTCTAACCCCCTGTTTAGGGAAATGTAGTCTTAATCTGTGTGGACAGAGGGGGGTCAAACATGACTGTCCCAAACATGACGTTAGTGGATACTCTGGTCCGTAGGAGACTGGTTATGGGTTTGGCTGCCATCATCACTGGCTGTATTTAAGAATGAAGTTTCTGAATGTACTGCTAGTACACTTCCAGAGCTGTGAATCTCCAGAAAAAAAGAGGGTTTATCATTGAAGGTCCTTAACGGTTAGTGTAGACAGTTGTCTTCTCCGTTTGCTCTTGGTTTTGCCCACAGTTCTCATCCATCTTACTTGTCTCATGGACCAGATAGGGTGGCTTCTGCTGCAACAACTGACTGGGCAAGGGCCTGTGGACACCCTGTGTGCTAGGGTGTGGGGATGTAGTTTGGCATATGAATGTAGTCCATAAACTCTAGGGGCCTATAAAAGCTTGATGAAATAAATCTTAAATGTTTCTTGCGGAAGATTAATGAAAACTGAATAACTTGGATAAGGCAGTATTTGCTGAACAGATTATCTGATGCCTTAGATTTGAATGGAAACTTGAAAACCTGAGTTTGATTTGTGATAACGTTGCTCAGTCATGTAAGATTTGCCTCTTCTGTGTCCTCAGAAATTAACTCGGTATGCTCATACACATATATAGGGCTTTCAGAGATTGTTTAACTCCTCGAATAGGTGGTCTAACATGCTTAACATGTAAGGTGGCTGTTGTTAAAACTTAAGTACTCTGCCTCTTGTCTCTTGTTGACTGGCTTGAATCTACAACCGAGGTGTGCTTGTGTGCTTTGTCAATTAAAATTGATTTAGAAGCTGACTTAATTGCCATTGCAAACCTCCATGAAGATGTTTATAGTGACTGTAAGCCAGTTTATCAGTGCAAGTTTGCTTGTCTTGCAGTGGATTTCAAGCAGAAATTGAAATAAATGCACAGCAGTTAGAAGCAACCTTACAATAAAAATACTGTTTAAGCTTTAGTTAAGGTCGTGCAAGTTTAGTGGAAAATACGTGCTGCTTTTTACAGTTAGATAGCTAACATAGAATAGGGATCCTGCTGCTGGTGTGAAAGCAGGTGCTAGCTGACCTTGACCTAGCTGTGTCAGGGGACTTGGTGTCCTTATTGCCTTCTTGGTAGACGATACATCTACATCCAGACTTTCTCCACATGATTTTTATTGCAAAAACAGTGCTTATTATGTCTGCAGGCATGGCCTTTTCTGTATAGAGTTAGTCTTGAGATGTAGATCTCCGAATTCCCTTACAAAATTGACTGAGTTTCGGTGGAAGACGAGAAATAAACTTCTGTACTTCTGCCTCGAGAGGGAGCAGCGAACCAGTGGAATACTGTTGGTGTGTTTACAAGAAATGTGAAACATTTCCCTTAATTGCATCAAATCTCCTTGTTTACAAGCATGTACTTGTTACAAAATTTGTGAGGTATACAGGCCCATTTTCAGGTCGAATCAATCTTTCAAAATATTCTTTCTAGTTAAGGAATAATCAGGAATTGTTATATATATATGTGTGTGCACATACATAAAAATACTGTTTTATTTATAGTGCCTATTATGTAGCTCATCTGTGACACCCTTGTTGGTACCCATCTCTTTGCAGCATCTTTACATCTGTGTCTTCTTTTTTTCACATCCCTTAAAAAAAAAAAAGAGGGGGAGTTGTAGAAACTGCCAGTCAGAAATATATTAATGCTGCTTCAGTTCTGGGGGGGCTAAACTTGTATTTGGCTGCCAGTGGTGTTTTTAAAAAGCATAATAAAAAGTTTGACCTACTTAGAATTCCTGCAAAGTAGGAAAGAATTAGAAATCACTGATTCAAACAGGCTTGCATATTTAAATCAAAATTATACCCCAGCAAAATGAAGTGAAAACACTTGATAAATACTTGAGTAGTTGAAAACTGTTCTTGCCTTCTATGAGAAGAATTAATGGTACTAATTTAACCTGATATTATTTAAAAAAAATGAGAGAGAGAGTGAATATGCATGCCTTGACAAAATTTGGATGAAAATAAATTTCTTTCTCTTGCTCTGCTGTTGATTGACTCTACTGACAGCAGGGAACCTGCAGTCAGGGAATGCTCAACCTTCCCCAGCATCCTTCCCCTCTTGGCTGGTTCATTTCCACCAGATCAAGGGGAAGAAAGGTGATACCTGCAGGAGATCCTACATTTACGTCTTAGTAGTGCAGCAAAATGTAACAGAGACCTCCACGAGTGACTTGAGAAGCAAGCTTGTTGAGACAGAATGATTAAATGTTGTTTATGAAGTGTTTAGCAAGCTGTGCTCTGCCTCATTGTGCAGAGTGGGAAGTATGTACTCTCCTCAGGGACCAGGACTCATCCCAAGTAGCCAGATCTCTTGCATGGACTGTTTTCTGTACCAGATAATAATTCCATATCTTGATATTTGCAGCAAAAGAGGAGGAACCTGCGATTTGTTGCTGTAGGACCTTCTTCCTAATGGTGGGATAGCTTCTTTTCACCTCATTGCAGAAGGCGTAGTCAACTATGTAAGATATCAAAACATACCCTGCCAAGTGTTCACATACTAACGCAGTGATGCTCCTGACTCTTGTAAGCCATGAGAGTGGTGCCGTTGAGGTATTGTTCTCTCACGAGTGGTCAGAATGAAGTCAGGCTGCATGATGGCTCCCCCCGATAAACCGATGAGCCTAAAATGTTGGTGAGCTGCTGTGTTGTGAGACGGGTGACCACATCAGCGTCTTTACCAGCCTAACCAAGTTTGAGAGACAGAGTGCTGAGGAATTGGGAGTTTATTAGTTATCCTGACTGTGGGTGGTTAACTGCTGATATACTGCATAGTGCTTTAGTGATTATCCTAAACTTCTTCACCGTTCTTTGAAGACAGTCGTATTGTACAAATTTACAGATGGTGGTTTAATTCAGAAACAGATTTTTCTCTTTTAGCAAAAAGACAATCTTATACATATATTTATTTACCTTATCTTTAAGTCTTTCTGATTTTTAGCTACTGGAAATGTAGCATATTTAACATCTGGAGCATACAGTAGTGCAAGTTCTGATTTTTGGGTTGCATGTTAGTATATCAAAGCAGCAGGATAATTGAGACCAATTTTCAGACAACATTTCAATCTCTATGACCCTTATAGCAGAGCAATCAAATCTATTAGAATAATATTGGTCTACTTTTAAGACAGAATGTTAGTGACTCTTCTAATTGAAGATGATTCTGAGAGTAAAATGCCTGATTATTATGCAACTTCAGAGCTATCTTTTTGAGTTAGAAAAGTTTTGGTCCGTCCAAGATCCAGCCTGTGACAATAGAAAAAACAACACAATTTGAGAAAGATTTATCAGTGTCCAGAAACCTTTCTCTCTGTGTAGGTGGGTTGAAGCTTAAATGTAGGTGCCTA